GCAACGAAACGGCACGAAACTAAGACATCACATCAACAGCAGCATACAAAAAGAACCAAAAAAAAGAAAAAAAATCTAATCAAGCTCCCTAGACTTTAATCCCCATGCCATTAGCAGTTCCGATGATAGACTTACAAATGGACTCTAGAGGCATATACTGGCAATAGGGATCCTGCTGCTTCACCTTGGCAATCTCGTACACGTGCTTCAAGGTCAAGGAGGAATCCGTCATGTGACCAGGGTGCCCACTCCCCTTCTCCAACCCCGCCGCCTTCTTTAGGTACCACGTGACTGATGGCGACCTGACGGTGAATTCGAAGGTGTTGTCCTTGAAGGCTGTGATGACATCGGCCATGGGAGTGTCAGGCTTGTACTTTTGGATCTTGGCTTTGAAACCCTTGCAGAAGGCCATCAGATTGAGCTTGTATTGACCCAACGCCAGCCTTACCGGAGGTGCCGGCCGAGCTCCCTTGGCATTAAGCGGATCGTCGCTGCCACTGGCCGACGGGTCAAGATCTCCTTCAACGTCGACATTTTTTTATGGGGAATTTCCAGATGCACCAGTACCAGTCTTTGAAAACAAGAATTCACAAAGTAAATTAGGTCCTTGGTTTCATAAAATACATACTGATCCGTTTGGATTAGCTATATTCCAAGAAGACAAATTATCTGACAAGTTTGTCTATTTATCAACTATTCACATAAATATGGAAGTAGAAGTACAACTACTGTAATCCAAGACAACAAGAACAAAATCTAACTTGATTGATGAGTTATAGATTTCTTCCCATCCCAAGATACAAATGACTCCACAACGTTACGAGACATTACACAAATATGTTCCAATATACCATATTGATATTAAAGTATAAAAGCATATAGGTCACACTTTAGCTCAAAACTGTAGCAAAGAAAAAATTTAATGTAACATTTGGAGATGAATAATCATGCTCCATAAAGTCAGACTCGACCAAGCGTTGAGGCTTGATCGTTTTTTAAAATCATTTCATTTCAAATTATTAGTTAATGTGCATGTGCATGTTCAAGTTATCCTTTACAGTTGAAATGCGATTTTAACTTATTAGTATGCATGTTCTGCACCATTTAATCTAGTTAGTATGCATGCTCTGCTCTTATTTTTTATACTTACTGCCACGTTTCTTATTTCAACTCATCACATTTCCCGATTACATGCATTATTTACGATTTTATTCCAATTAAAACTTCTATAAGACCATAATAAGAGATAACAAATATAACATTCTTTCATGTCTTTTAATTTAAATAATAAGGGAAAATATTATTTATAGTCCCATTTTTTTGTTATTCACACTTTTATAACCATTTTAATCGTATAGTTTTCATTAATTAGACTATATGATAAAACAAATGATAAGAGTGCAAGAAATAAAAAATGGAGTGCAAATAAAATTTTTCTAAGTAAGAAGTGGCTTTAATACCTTTTTAATTTAAATAAGTAAGAGATGGCTCCACTTGTAGTACGAAGTGGCTTTCATGCCTTTTTAATTTGGGTAAGTAAAGAGAAAATATTACCAAACTTCTTAAAAGTAAAAAAATAAATGACAATATTTTATCTTTATCTTTTAACTTAGTAATCCTAACTAAAAGGGGCAAATTATATAGAAAATAAAAAGGAAATAATATTCATTGGTTGTGGATTTAAAAAATAAAGAATGGTATCATTTATGAAATCTAAATTACGAAATCGCTAAATAAAAAACAATGTACTATTGGCCTTTTAATGTGGAAATTTTTATTTGAAACATTCATTTTTGATAAAAATAATGATAATAACAACACCAGTTCTATCAAAAATTTTTAAAAAGTAACATTACCGTTTAAGAGATGAGAGAAAGGATGATGGTTTTTAATAATTTTGAAAACTCTAAAAACACATGTTACAGAGGTTTTTTTAAATTTACGTTAAAGTTTATGAAAAATACTAATCTAGATGCAGTCAACAATTTTAGGGACACAAAAAACTAATCTAGCATTTTAACATGTGCTATGCACGGGTTTATATTTCAAATCGAAATAATATTGTATATAGGAGAAAGAATTTTTATTTCTAAAAATCGAAGAAAATAAATTGATTATAATTTATTTTTTTATATTATAAGTTTTGATACATGGGTATAACATAATATTTTTTGTCAATTTTTTTTAGAAATTTTTTTTGACCTTATCACCCAACCTACCCTCTCCTTAAATGCATTAACAATTCCTCTATTATGTAAATCATTATAATTATTTTATTCAAATTGCTTCAGATATTGATAGACAATAAGTAAGCAAGTTTTGGCTTCAAGTTATTTAAGATTTAAAAATTAAATAAGTCCATTTTTTGCTCATAAAGTAAATATTTATACACTTCTTTAAAATTTTTATTCTATATATATATATATATTATTTTGTACCAAAATATATAAATATATACAATATAATTTTGATTTGAAATATAAACCTTATACACGATTTAAAATGCTAGTCATATCACATCATATAACTTAACTACATAAAAAGCGTCGGTTTAGCTACAGAAGTATGGACCGGTTATAGACTAATTTTTAGTCTATATATGTGGCTTTTACAATGTGACATTCGAAGAAGTTCAGGGCAATATTGTCACTCCATTAATATAGTAGACCAGAAGTAGGCAGGGGGCGGAAATTCTGCTCGTTCCATAACCCACCATTCTACTCCCCTCGCCGATTATCCAATTATCCACCAAACGGAATAGCTCGTATTCAAAGGAGAAGGGAAAAAGCAGTTCCCTCCAAAAGTGAGAGTTTCTCTCTCTAGGTAAGAGTGCGAGTCTCTCAACCTTGAGAGTTTCAAACCTTTTCAAAATTTTCAAAATCTCCGCAAAAACTCACACACAATCCCAAGATTTAGACATCAATTAGAATCTTTAATGTTTTGATGAAGTTAAGAAGATTGAACTGAAAAGAGTGAAACAACAAAAGCCGAGCACTTTGAGAGAATCTAGTTCCACTTTCAGTGGGAAAGCTCACACCTAAGTTTTAGCAACAATGTCGGAAAATGATTGCATGCAATAGTGATCTTAGCTAATCTGGTCCAAGGAAACAGACTCCATGGAAGACATAAGGGTGTTGGCAGGTATCTTCATAGCCACTATTTCCACTGTTCTTTCGTGTGTTTTTCACTTCTGTTAAAGGGGTTTGGGGCTTGTCTTCTTCAGTCTCTTGTTTTTTTAGAAGAAAACAAGGAAAAAAGACCTTAAAAAAAGGAAAAAAATATTTCCTGAAAAAATTTAAAAACAGGAAGGGGGTTCTTCTTCTTTTTGAGCGTCCAAATCTGCCTAGGTAGATCTCTTTTCTGCTTTTTTGGCCCCGTGTTTGACTTGTCTTAGCCTCAGTAGTGATAGTAGGAGGTAGCTTTAGAATCTGTATAGACCCCATGGCGGAGGAACTAGCAGATGCGGTAAGAAAGTTTGCTCTTTCAGATAAAGAACTGGAAAGTACTGATCTTGGAGGTGAAGAGATAGACAGAGGTATTCAAGAATGTCAGTTAAGCTTAGTGGGGAGAATTAAAGGGGAGAGAGTGGTTAACTTTGTTGGAGTTAAGAACTTTATGAACTCAGTTTGGGGGTATCTAAGGAACTTGAGGATCATAGAGTTGGGTCCAAATATGTTTCAGTTTTATGTTCCAAATAAGGAGGGCAGAGATAGGATAGTAGGAGGTGGACCTTGGGTCATGGACAACCAAATTCTGGTGATGAAACACTGGTTTGAAGGTATAGAGGATGACACATCTGCTTTTGACCTGGCACACCTTTGGGTTCAAGTTTGGAATCTACCTTTGTACTAGATAACAAAAGAAGCGGGGTGAAAAATTGGTGTTGTGTTTCAGGCGGTAAAGGATGTTCTGGTGCCTCAAGGAAGAGGGAAGAAAGGTAAACACTTAAAGCTTTTAGTGGTACTAGATACCTCCCTGCCTCTACTCAGGAGAACGACAGTTAAAGTTAATGGAGTTTTGAAATGGTTGAACTTCAGATATGAGAGATGTCCAGATATTTGTTACAAGCATGGAGTAGTAGGTCATGGAGAAAAGTCATGCAAGGAAGTAATACAAATAAGCAAAAGGAAGCAGGAACATCAGTACGGTCCATGGATGAGAGCCAACATAGGAAAAACATCACCCCCAAAAGGAACAACAGAATAAGTACAACTCTGAGAAAAATCATTGGGGATTAAAAGATGGAGAGATGGTACTGTTAAATCCTAAGGCAAAGGAGAATATGGAGCATAGTCATAAGGACTTTATGTCAGGGAGAAAGAAAGATTTTAGGAAGGGTAATGAATAGAAATAGACAAACAAGAAGAGGTCCAAAGAGGTTGGAGGTTATGAGGTACAGAAACAAAGAGGTGAAGTTAGCTGCAGTGAAGTGAAAATGCAAAGTTTAATTTCAAATAGTAGCAAGAGCCAGAAGGAAAGTTGTATTAGAGAAGCTACAGAAACTTTCATTGGGGGAAAAAGTAACTGTGTTTTAGAAGAAGGAAGGATTAGTATCTCAGTGGAGGTAGAGAAACATGGGAAGAACAAGGGTGAATTGGAGAGGAATGGACTTGAGCAAATAGCACAGGAGCTAATGCAAGTTACAGTAGTGGAGGAAGATTCTGGCAGGTGCACCCCCTCTGGGGGCCGGGGGGCCGGACAAAGAAGGAAGGCTTGATGCTAGTCGTCTTACATCTCCAGCAAGAAGGGCGGGGAAGCACGATCTGTGGAGCCGGTGGTATGCCGAGCCCTCTCTTTTCTCCTGCCTGAAACAACTTTAATGCAAATTGATCCAGGATCTTCTGAATTGGGTGCAAAGGGTGCCCAGAAACATAACAGGAAAATGAAGAAACATTTGAGATCTCCCAAAATCTCCAGATAGCCACTGAGAGAACTGAGTGGGAACAGGACTTTGACACCTCAACAAGGGAAAAGGAGAACTGAATGTGGTGGATGAAGATATGGTGGAAGTGCAGGTGAATGAGATTGTCCCCAAGAGAAACAAAATGGAGGATGGGGAAGGTAATCTGGGAGAGAAACAGGAGGGGGTAGGGGCCAACCGCAACTGGCCCCTCAAGTTACAATGAAGGTTTTGGTATGGAACTGCCAAGGAGCAGGGAGCCCCTTGACAGTTCCCCAGTTAAGGGAGGCTAATAACTTCCTCTCCCCAAACATAATCTTCCTGAGTGAAACCAAAAACAAGTTCAGCTACATGAAAAAGGTTCAAAAAATTCTGAGATTTAAGAAAAGTGTGATTGTGGAAGCTATGGATTGGAAAGAAGGCATGGCCTTGTTTTGGAATAATGCTATAGAGTTTAGGAAAGTGGTTACAACTGCCCTCACTATAGAGGCTCTGGTGATGACCCGGACACTCAGATTGAGTGGTGGTTTATTGGTGTGTACATGAGCTGTGATGCTTATATTAGGAAACAACAGTGGAAAGTCTTGACTGTGAGAAAGCAATTGTGGGGTGATAAATGGCTTTTAGCTGGTGATTTCAATGACATTCTCTCTAACGAAGAGAAGTGGGAAGGGAGAGCAAGAGATGAGAGAAGTGTCAAGGATTTTAGCAGCTTTATTGAGAATAACAGCCTTATGGATCTAGGATTTACTGGTAACCCCTGGACATGGAGCAACAATTGGGAAAATGAGAGGGAGATAAGGCAAAGACTGGACAGAGGACTGAGCACCATAAACTGGTGCCAAAATTTTGACAAGGCTGAATGTGAACATGTGGAAACTCTGGGATCAGACCATAGCATGCTGCTCATAGACAATTGGCCTAGAATAGAGAAAAGAAGATCAAGATTTTTCTTGGATAAGAGATGGCTCAAAAGGGATGACATCAATCAAGTGGTTGAGCAAGCTTGGACACAACCAGTAGAAGGAAATAGTGTGTATAGGATTACAAGACAGGTTGCTAATTGCAGAGTGACTCTACTCAAATGGAAAAACAGATTCACAGGAAACTCATTGCTAAGAATCAATGAAGTAAAGCAACAAATTAAGGAGATTAAGGACTCTAAGGATTCAGGATTTAAGGATAAGATTGCAGAATTAAAGACTCAGTTGAAAGAGGCTTACTCTAAAGAGGAGCAGTTTTGGGCTCAGAAAGCAAGGGTTGATTGGTTGAGAGAAGGGGATAAGAACACTAAATTTTTTCATGCTTGTGTGAAGGGAAGGAGAAGGAAAAACAGAATGCTTAACATTCAAAGGGAGGATGGAACCTAGACAAAAAGTGAGGAGGAGTTGGGAAAGGAAGTAGCTGACTACTATAGAGTCCTATTCTCTAGTTCTGATAGTGAGGGTCTTGCAGAGATTCTTAATGGTATACCTCGAACAATCACTACTGAGATGAATGATAAGTTAACTAGAGAGGTAGATGAAATGGAAATTAAATCTGCTCTTTTTTCCATGAATCCTAATAAGACTCCAGGTCAAGATGGTACGTCTCTCTTGTTCTTTCAAAAATTTTGGCATGTTGTTAAACCAGATTTAATTGCTGCCATTCGGCATTTTTTCCAATCAAGCAACATGCCCAAGTCTTGGAATCATACTGTCATTTCCCTCATCCCCAAAATTCAGAATCCTACTAACTTGAAGAGCAATAGGCCAATTAGCCTCTGTAATGTTGTGTACAAAGTGATTTCAAAAATATTGGCCAATAGACTCAAAAATGTTTTAAGTCACTGCATTAACAAAAATCAGGCAGCTTTTATCCCAGGCAAGCAAATTCTTGACAATGTCATTCTGTCTCATGAATACTTGCATTATATGAAAAATAAGAAACAAGGACAGAATGGTCTCATGGCTATGAAGTTGGACATGTCAAAGGCCTATGACAGAGTGGAGTGGAAATTCCTTGATGCTATGATGGATAAGATGGGCTACTGTACAGTCTAGAGGAAATGGATATGGAGCTGCCTCTCCTCAGTTACATACTCCTTCAATATTAATGGAGTTCCAAAAGAGTTTGTAATCCCAGAGAGAGGTATAAGACAAGGTGATCCACTGTCACCTTATCTTTTCCTTTTATGTTCAGAATGTTTCTCCAATTTATTAAAGCAGGCTGAAGGAGATAAAAGGATCTCAGGGATGAAGCTATGTAGGAATGGACCAAGCATGACTCATTTATTTTTTCCTGATGATTCATTGATCTTCTGTAAAGCTGACAGAGAGGAAGCCAGTGAACTCATTCAAATTTTGAGGAAGTATGAGAAGGGGTCTGTCAATCTATAAATCTGGAAAAGTCCGTACTGTTCTTCAGTAGCAATGTGAGTCATCTGAGAAAAGGGGAAGTGAAACAAAGCTTAAGCACAATTCAGGTGGCTACTCAAGGGAAATATTTGGGGCTCCCTATGGTTAACAAGATCTAAACAACAAGTTTTTGGCTACATTAAGGACAATATCAGTACAAGAATGAATAGCTGGAAGAACAAGTTGCTTAGCCAAGGAGGGAAAGAAGTATTATTGAAGGTAGTTTCCATGGCAATGCCAGTTTATACAATGTCCTGCTTTAAACTCCCTCGCAAATTGTGTAAAGAAAGTGACCTCCACTTTTGCTAATTACTTGTGGGGAGAAGCAGAAGGGAGAAATAAGATGCACTGGTGATCATGGGGGAGACTGGCTAAAGAGAAAAAGGAGGGAGGATTGGGCTTCAAGGATTTGTAGAACTTCAACAAAGCCTTGCTGGCTAAACAGGTATAGAGGTTGATTTCCAAACCAAATCTATTAGTCAGCAAGGTCTTGAGGGCAAAGTACTTTCATAGGGACTCAATCTTTAAGTGCAAAGTCCCTAAGTGTGTTTCCTGGGTTTGGCAAAGTCTGATGAATGTGAGAGATTTTGTGCGAAATGGAACTAGAAAGAAGATAGGCAATGGCAAGGCAACAAGCATTTGGGAGGATAACTGGATCCCTGAAAATAAGGATGGAAAAGTCACATCTATGATGCCTCAGAATTGCCACATCAGAAGAGTTGACGAGTTGATCAGTGGCTATAGATGGAGAAAACTATTGGTACTTAGAACTTTCAACAGGAAGGATGCTGAGGAAATCCTGGATATTCCTATCAGTATCTCAGGAAGGGAAGACAGCAATTACTGGTTACATAGTGGCAATGGCATCTACACGGTCAACTCAAGATACAAGGCATTGTGCAGAGAAACAACTCAACATTCAGGCAGAAGAGGTGGTGAGGCTGAAACGAGCTCAGTAAACTCCAATGGAAAGCAATGGAAATGGTTGTGGAAGCTGAAGGTCAAAAGCAAAATAAAACACTTCATTTGGAGGAGTCTAAATGGTCTATTACCAGTTAATGGCCTAGTGCTTAATAGAACACACCATTGAGACCCAATATGTGATGGCTGTGGAGAACAAGAAGAGTCAATTGAACATATGTTTTTTCAATGCAACAGAGCTCAAGAGGTATGGAAGATGGCTCCAATACAACGGGATGGATTAACTGAACAGACAGGGAATTATATAGTTTGGTGGAATGCAATGCTGGAAGCTTCAAGTAGGACAAAGAGCAGGGAACATATAGAGCTTACTACGAACATCCTCTGGCAAATCTGGAAAAGGAGAAATGAATGGAAGTTCAATGCTAAACGAAGTCACCCTTGGAAAACAGTTAAAAAGGCTCAACAGGAATGGCAAGAGCAAGCATTATCTTGGAGTAAAGAGAAAATGATCCCTGAGGAAGCAGAAAGAGATGGAGAGGTAGTAGAACAAGAGGAGGTACGAAGTGATGAAATGCAGATCAGACTATCAACTCGTGTGCAGAAACAGACCAATAGAGTTGGCACTAGGATTATAGCAACTAACTCCAACCATCAGGTGGTGACAGCCTGGGCACTAATTGATAGGAAAACTGTGAATCAGTTGCAAAATATCGCAGAAGCTATGAAGATGGCCATCATAAAGGCCAGACAACAGCAATGGCAGAAAATTACAATCCATATTCCCAGCCCTCAGCTGTTGAAAGGAATAAAGGAAGGGATGGCCAAGGATTTCAAAATGTCTACTTTGACTGATGATATTAACAACCTCAGAGCTTTATTCCAGAAATGCTCCTTTTGTTTAGATAGGAGATTAGATTATAGATGTGATCTGATTAGTGATTATGTTTTAGGCATATTTCAAGATGAGAAATGGATCAATCCTCAGTGTGTCTAACATTTTTGTGTAGAACTACTTGAGCTTTTGCTCATATAAGTGTACATCTTTTGCCAATCAATACAAAATCTACCGTTGCGGAAAAAAAAAAAAGAATAGCTCATATTCACAGCTTTCTATCTCACAGGTTTTTTTTTTTGGAGAAAACTACTTATTGATCTTATTTCTGAAAAGATTTGGAATTCAGAGACCTTATTCATTGGCTGAGGTATTCTTTTAAACCTTTGCCGCTTTTTTGTATGTTTTTTTCCCTCAAAGATTTTGTGGTACTTGCATGATTAGGAAATTAGACTATACTTGGATGAAAAATTACATGAGGCTTTGACCCACAGAATGTCAAAATCGCAAGCAATTGATAGATAGTATTCAATTTCTGGTTTCTTTGTATGTTTGGCTTGCAGATTTTTCTTGCTTAGCAGACCAAGAATTATTGTACTTGTGCTTCAAACTTCACTGTTGTTGCAGTTAATTAATGGTAATTTATGTGAATAATCACTTTAATTTTTAGAGGATTACTAATTGATTCCATTCTTGGGACTCTGGCCTTTTGTTGTGGTCCTATAGATCGACGTATTAGTTTTCAGAGAGAAACAACAATTCTCAAAAGGTTTGTATTTAATTGTAATTTTAAGGGATAGCTGGATAATCCTTCTTCTTATCTTAAAACTCATTAAAACAAAAGAAAAAGAAGAAGAAGAAGAAGAAGAAGAAGAAGATGCAAATGATTGCTAGTTGTTCTCATGGTAGTTAAATACAAAATAGAGAAGCAACTGATCACTGATTAGTTCTCTAGTTTAGGCTCATTCTTGTAGAGTTTAGATTGTTAACTGGAGTTTTTTCAGTGTATTTTACTGTTAAATGCACTGGGATTTGATGCTTGTTGTTAAGCGGCACATTAAAAAGCATAAACTTAGAGCATGGACTGGTACATATTTCTTTTGGTACATCAAATTTGTACTCATTGGTTTTCTTGAGTTTTTGTTCAACAAAGGCATTGGCTTTGCTGAGTAAGAAGGCAGCCTCTATGTTGGAGTACAACTTAAAGGTACTTTCCATCTGCAGGATACCGCATATTTCTAATTGTATTTCAGCTCTTTTTTTTAAAAAAAAAAAAAAACTGCTGTTATCCATTATGTCCTTAATCTAGATGGTTATGACTGGGCTTAGTTTATCTAATGAGGCTGGAATGAGCTACAAAGCTGAATCACCGTTTTATCTTCAACCCATATCGCCAATTTCTATTCCCAATATCAGAGCTTACAACTCTCAACTTCTCACCACCACCGCCGCCTTCTCCTCTTCCTTACCTTTCAAACTCTCAATTTCTATTCCCAATATCCCCTCTCTTGATCAGGTTAGTCTTTTGCTGAAAAAAGTTTTAACAACAAATTATTTGTTCGGCTAAGGTCATTTATGCTATTTGTTTGACAGGATCAGAATACAGTTTTAGGGACAAGAAGGACAAGAAATCTACTTGTTTATGGGTTCCATGAAATCAGTCCTCTCATGAAAGTAAGAAAAATTATAAGAAACTTGCTCATCTGGTAGTAATTTATAAGTTGTTCTTGGCTCATGTGGTTTTCCAACTACCTGCTTTATAAGGAGTTCTTGGTTGTAAATCATATATAATAATTTGTTTTGTCCTTTTTCCCATTGTCTATTTTTAAATTTTTTTTCCTGAGCCTTGTTTTAGTTTAGGAAATTATGCATATGAGAAATGTTTATATGCAATTAAAGTTTGATGGTCAGTTTTTAATGACGACGAAGTGATGATAGTACTATTCTTTGTAACATTTAGAGCACCTAGAACTAAATATGAGGACTATGGCCACTCTCACTTGAAAGATTGTGAGTTTCAATATTTTATTTTATTTTTTATTGTCAATTTGATTTATGAATTTTGGATTTCTTTACTGATTTTGAAATTTTGGAGTGAATATCTAATGGGATAGTTATGCAATTGGGCATTACCTAATGCCAGCTTATTTGAATTTGTGCTTTTGTGTTGCATGGAATAAAATCTCTAACATGATAATAACAAGTCAACTTACATGCAATTTCTAATTGTTTAATAGAGTTCAGCTCAAATTGGATAACTGCTTAACCTATGAAGTAGATGATGATTACATGTACTACAGTAGTACTTATTGTGGTTTGTTGAGCTATCATTTTCTGTTAATGCGACTTTAGAACTGTAAAATATGTAGTAATTAATAGTACTGTTGGAGTATCTTCTTCAATGGTGGGGTTTTTCATCTGGAAAATTTGGCTTTGAAGCTTTGTTACAAAATACGTGTGTTACCGGAGTGTTTTTAATTATAATTTTTCTTAAATTAGTGGGGTGCTGAGTTATTAGATAGTGCTACTTTGGTAAATGAGAAGTCACCAAACACCCTGAAATTTGAACATGAAAGTGAGCTTCAAATCAACTAATCATCTTCCAATTGGAGGGCTCTAGGTGCGAAACTTCAAGGAAGAAATCAACTAATAGTTGCTATTTGAGGCCTAAGAGTGCTGGTGTAAGTGAAACCCTTCATCCCATTCCACCTTATTTTAGCATCCATTTTAACGACTGTTATGATTGTCACTTGAAACCATGGCTAATGGATGTGGCTGTTCCTTGGGAATATGAATCTTTGTTTCAAGAAATTGAAGCAATTATCTTGTAGCAGTACGTTTGCATCTTTTGCTATTTTATGATAGTGTTCATTTTTACTTTTATTATTTTGAAGCTCTCCTAAACTGCTTGCTTCGTCTGATAATGGCTTTCTTTTAAATAAGCTATCTTTCTTTGTAAAAGTTACTTTTTATAGCTACTGCATTTGACGAATCCTTTAGTGTAGTCTATACACAAAATCAACAAATGCTCAAAACTAATACACAATAAGATTGAACCATGCATGGGCAGGGCCACGCAAAGTGTGGCACTATACACTAGTATATATATAAAGACTAAAAATTTTAAAGAAATGTATGCTTAACATGTTGAAAAAAAGTTTCCAATATGAGCACCAAAAGGACTTTTTAATTTTAAAATCTTAAATAACTTGAAGCCAAAACTTGCTTACTTATTATCTATCATTATCTAAAAGCAATTTGAATAAAATAATTTAACTTATAATGATTTACATGATAGAGGAATTGTTAATGCATTTAAGGAGAGGGTTTGATAGGGTGGTAAGGTAAGAAGAAATTTCTAAAAAAAAAAAACCAATTTATCAAAATCCGACAAAAGATATTATGTTATACCCATATATCAAAACTTATAATATAAAAAAAATAAATTATAACCAATTTATTTTCTTCGATTTTAAGGAAAAAATTCTTTCTCTTATATACAATATTATTTCGATTTGAAATATAAGCTCGTGCATAGCATGGGTTAAAATGCTAGATTAGTATCTTGTGCCCCTAAAATTGTTGACTGCATCTAAATTATTATTTTTCATAGACTTTAACGTAGATTTAAAAAAATCTCTGTAATATGTGTTTTTAGAGTTTTCAAAATTATTAAAAACTACCACTCTTTCCCTCATCTCTTAAATGGTAATGTTACTTTTTTGAAATTTTTGATAGAACTGGTGTTGTTATTATCATTATCTTTTTTTTTTTTTTATCAAAAATGAATATTTCAAATAAAAATTTCCATGTTAAAAAGCCAGTAGTACTTTGTTTTTTATTTAGAGATTCATAATTTAGATTTCATAAATGATATCATTCTTGATTTTTTAAATCCACAGCCAATGAATATTATTTCCTTTTTATTTTCTATATAATTTGGCCCTTTTAGTTAGAATTACTAAGTTAAAAGATAAAATATTGTCATTTAATTTTTTACTTTTAGGAAGTTTGGCAAATGTTTCCTCTTTACTTACCTAAATTAAAAAGGTATGAAAGCCACTTCTTACTATAAGTAGAGCCACTTCTTACTTATTTAAATTCAAAAGGTATGAAAGCCACTTCTTACTTAGGAAAATTTTATTTGCACTCCATTTTTTATTACTTGCACTCCCACCATTTGTATTATCATATAGTCTAATTAATGAAAACTATATGATTAAATGATCATGAAAGTATGAATAACAAAAAATGGGACTATAAATAATATTTTCCCTTACTTATTTAAATTAAAAAAATGAAAAAATGTTATATTTGTTATCTCTTATTATGGTCTTATAGAAGTCTTAAATGAAGTAGAATCGCAAATAATGCATGCAATGGGGAAATGTGATGAGTTGAAATACGAAACTGTGACAGTAAGTATAAAAAATAAGAGCAGAGCATGCATACTAATTAGATTAAATGGTGTAGAACATGCATACTAATGAGTTAAAATCTCATTTCAACTGTAAAGGATAACATGCACATGCACATTAAATAACAATTTGAAATGAAATGATTTTAAAGTAACCAATAATTTCAAATGTGAATCGCAAATATGGAAGTTGAGAGGAATATATTTTATAAATTAAATTAAATGTGAAATGCTAGAAAAATGAAATTGGGAGTAGGAAGATATGTAGAGATTTGTTGCTGAAAATTCTTTGTCAAATTTATATAGATATAAATATAAAAAGATTGTTTGATATCCAAATGAGGACGCGTCACCAGTACGCGTAGTGAATGTATTTTTTTGCGTTGGGACTTTTTGGATTACTTTTATGTTGGGCCTGGACGCGTGAGAATTTGATTGACCCCATGATTTGATTGCCTAAAACTATCATTGCCCGGACCCGCATTTGTCACCCGGACTTCGGAGGGTGCTTTTCCAATTTCCGGCTAGCATTCAAAGATAGAGAGAGAGTAAAAACTGAGAACGAAGAGAGAGGCCGAAGTCTCAAAGCCATTTTTGCTGGTGGTGCAGCTGCTTTCTTTCTTTCTAGCACTTTGACTAGACTAAGACTACTACTACCATCTTCTGCTGCTGCTGCTGCTGCTGCTGCTTTCTGAAGCACTTTCTTACGCATCATCAGGGTTAATGTACTTAACCAACTATGGAGATAAGCACATTGAATTATGCGGCCGGCGGTCACCCATTTCAGTTGTCCTCCACTTCAACGCCACCAACTATAACTGCCAAACAACACCTCCTCCTCAGCCGTAACACTCCTCCTCCTTCCTCTACTCTTTCAAACTTCTTTCTTCTCCCCGTGAGCTGCCCTTTTTCTCCATTTTCTCGCTTCACTTACATGTCTAAGCTCTCCTGCCATAAAAAATTCCAAAGGACCCCCATTTTAGCTTCCTCTTCTTCTTCTTCTTCTGATTCTACTAGTAATGATAACCCTCTTGACCACTCCGCTTCCGATGCTGCTGCTGGCTTCTCTTGGCTCCATCTTTCTCGCCGCTTCTTTACAAATTTCAAGCAACAAACCGGTATTGATTTTCAACATGACGCTATTGCTATACTGGCTCAGCTCGCTGCTCCACTTCGTCGCTCCGTCCAGTTGCCCCACTTTGCGCTGGAAAGGTTTAGGTCCCACTTACTTCCCGATTTCGTCAACTGGAATAAATTGGATCGCTGGAAGGTAATTTTAAACAATACACACAACTCTGTGTATTTCCGTTTGTGCAATTCATTTTTTTTTCGGGAGTTGTGAAATAATAATAATAAATGCATGGATTGATTCTGTTGCTCTGCATACTTGGCACCATTGAATTATTAGCATCATTTTTTTTTTTGGGTTTTTTTAAAAGTTCTTGATTGATGGCCCCTCTCAGTGTGAATCTCAACTAAGGTAATGTGCTTGTTTTCTTGTTTCGGTTTTCAGGACGTGAAGAATTGGGAAGCCAAGAGAATTGGTGTTCTAATTCTTTATGCACTTGTTATGGTGGTTTCTTCTCGAGGAATTTACAAGGCAATTCAAGCACCTGTTATTGATCGAGAAAGAAGAGAGCTGGCTGAGGCATATATGGAGGCTCTCATTCCCGAGCCTACTCCCACAAATGTCAGAAAGTGTGTGCTACTTTTCCTATCTCACCTGATTTTAGTTTGGAAGAGTACGATTTCAGCTCTCACCGAGGAGCACATGACTTGAACAGTTACTATGACACGAATCTTCTGCATATTTACTTTTATATATACGTTCCAATGTTACCTGATGGCATACTTATGACTTCCTTGATAATGTTTGTCATTTGACTGTCTCAAATCTCAATACCCGCCGCCATGATTTTTTTCTTTTGTTTTTTAAAGTGCCTTTTGATTGCACTCGTTATCTCAGATGTTTCTTCTTTAATGCAGGTTCAAAAAGGGTTTGTGGAGGAAGACAACTCCAAAGGGCCTAAAACTCAAAAAGTTTATTGAAGGACCTGATGGAACGCTTGTTCATGATAGTTCTTTTGTTGGGGAAGATGCATATGATGATGATGATCATCCCCGGGAGAGTGTAAAAGAAATTATAGACCAAGATGTGAAATTGAACAAAGAAGAGAAGAAGGTTTTGAAAGAAGATTTAACAATTTTGGGTGAGTTTGCAAGTCTGCTTTTCTTCCCTCAAGTTAGTGGGCATGCTCCTTTTACAGACCATTTTGTGACACTACCCGTGAAAATAAGAAAAGGGAAAAAGATTAATGTTTTTAAATCTTCATTTAACAAGGTTCTTGGGTACATTAACTTTTGACTTGATGCGTGCCTTTTTTTATTGTTTTTATTAAGGACCTGGCACTGGATATTGAGTTGTTTTCTATGTTTTACGTTAATTAAATTTTAGCTGATTTGGTAATTTAACATCCTATATAGAGTTAGTTTATAGAAAAATAAGGATGGAATGTTTTATCAGCAAATATTTTTTATACAATGTTTCCATTATGTCCTGGTGGAATTCCCCGCTTTAACTATTTTCTTTGACCAGTTGTATACATGTGATTATGTTGTAAGTAAAAATAATGGGCTTCAACTGACTAGTGAAGATGCAAGAGGATACAAGTGTGGAAATGCTGTCGTTTGGTTTGTTATGTCTCTTTTACATACCTGAAGGACTAACAAAATCGGCATTATTTTGGTAAAAAATTGGAGCAGCAAACTTGGATTTGGCATGAATCTGATTTTTTTTTTTTTTTTTTTTTTTTTTGTGAGTAGTACAAAGTGGAAAAATTGATGGGGGTCAAGATGCTGTTAGGTGCCAGCTGCCGCCTTAAGTGCCCCACGATCTGTGTGATGGCCTGTTAATGTGGTTAAATAGCTTTCTTAACAACCTTCTTTTGCAGGAGAAAATCAGGAGAGTCGAGGAACTTGGCGTGAAAGGCTTCAAGCATGGAATGAAATCCTTCAGAAGGATAAGTTAGCTGAACAATTAGATTCATTGAATGCCAGATATGTAGTCGAGTTCGATATGAAAGAAGTTGAGAATAGCCTGCGCAAAGATGTTCTTGAAAAGGTCAAGGACAACCACGGAAACCGAGCGCTGTGGATTTCTAAAAGATTGTGGCGCTACCGCCCTAAACTTCCTTACATGTATTTTCTTCAAAAACTTGATTCTTCTGAGGTAATGATTCTAATAGTTCATCCTTCTGTGTCTGTCTTTGTCTTGCCATTTAGGAAATTGGAGAATCTTTCCTCACGCATTTCTGCACTGATGAGGGAGAGAACTTGTAAAGTTCACATACATGAAAAGATACTTGGTAAAAAAAATGATGCAGATGGAGCAATGTGATTTATGTCATGCTTGTGTATGCATAAAACTTGAACTGTGCAATGCTTTCTTGACTGGTTGGCTTCCATTAGTGGGAGTGTGAGATGTTAGATTTCATTGATGAACTCCAGTGGGAGTGTGAGATGTGAGATGTTAGATTTCTTTGATATCCCTTATTTGATGCTATGTGCAAGAAATTGTCGGGGTCAACTGTAGAAATCAGGTTATGATTTGTGTTTGATTTTTGCAGGTCGCTGCTATTGTTTTCACAGAAGACCTGAAAAGGTTGTATGTCACAATGAAAGAAGGGTTCCCAGTGGAGTATATTGTGAGCTTTGTAGCTTTTGGTTATAGTTCAGCTGAAATTGTATTCTTTTTCATTTGAAATTGCTTATTGGTGCATTGTACTTTCTCAGGTAGATATTCCACTTGATCCTTATTTGTTTGAGATGATATCAAGTTCTGGAGCAGAAGTTGATCTCCTCCAAAAACGGCAGATTCATTACTTTCTTAAAGTTGTCTTTGCTTTGCTGCCTGGAATACTGATATTGTGGTTCATAAGAGAATCTCTGATGCTTCTTCACGTCACTTCAAGACGTTTCCTTTATAAGAAGTATAATCAACTCTTTGACATGGCTTATGCTGAAAATTTCATTTTGGTAAATTTTATTTTCTCTAAATTTGTAGTTTCCTCGTCTTGAGTTTATTTTTGATCTCTTATTCCGCCACTTTCTCAGCCAGTAGGGGAAGTTGGGGAAACAAAGTCTATGTACAAAGAAGTAGTACTGGGAGGAGATGTCTGGGATCTACTAGATGAGTTGATGATATTCATGGGAAATCCCATGCATTATTATGAAAAAGAAGTGAAGTTTGTGCGGGTGAGCTTCATATGTTGATAATTAAACAGTGGATAAAATATGCCAAGAATTAAAGAGTTGTAATTTTTTCGTGTCATGTTATTTGCCTTTACAGGGTGTGCTTCTCTCTGGACCTCCTGGAACAGGCAAAACACTTTTTGCCCGAACTCTTGCAAAGGAAAGTGGGTTGCCTTTCGTTTTTGCTTCTGGTGCAGAGTTTACAGACAGTGAAAAAAGTGGTGCTGCAAGAATAAATGAAATGTTTTCTATTGCTAGGAGAAATGTAAGTCTGGCCAGTTTGAAAACCTTGTTCAATATCTTATAATGTAGATGGTGATGTAGGCTTGTGGTTAAGCTTCTTTTTTCCTTGTGTTAGAACAAAAGTTTGATTCGGACCATCTCCATTCTCCTCTCCTCTTCATTCCTTTCTCCCACCCTCTGCTTCTGAAACATCTTGATACAAAGACTGCTGTGTCTTCTAAATTTCCCTTTTGCGTGTTTAATGTTTCCATGCTTTATGTTTAACAGTTCCCCATTATTTTTCTGTTGATCATGTTCTTATACATGAAATTTACTAAAGATCATCAGGTAAGAATTCTCTGCTTTGGAGCTTTTGGAAAAACACATTCTGATTTTCATTAGTTTTGTTTTAGGATTTTTGTGTTTAAATTTTTTCCCCCAAAAAACTTTCGATGCCTTCGTGCTATGTCTAGGAAGAACAAAATTTAATCTTCCTTCTTTATGCAGGCTCCTGCTTTTGTTTTTGTTGATGAGATTGATGCTATTGCTGGGAGGCATGCCCGAAAGGATCCACGAAGAAGAGCAACATTTGAAGCTCTTATTGCTCAGCTTGATGGAGAGTTAGTGTCTTCCTTATGCCACGACTATATTGCTTCTGCGTATCTAAGTATTGATCTGGCAGGTTTATCTTTTTAAGATTTAAGATTTAGGTTGTTATTTCCCGGAATCCCCAAAATTTTGACCACAGCACTTTGTTTGCTTGAGATTCTGTTTTTGTGAATCCACAAGGAATTGTCCACATCCAAGTGATTGTGAGGGAAATTCATAGTGATGATTTGATGTGTGTGGTTTTCATGTTGTTCCATCTTGGTCTCCTAGTGAAGGATGTTTAGTAGCATGGTAAACTTTTTAAATCTATAGGGTTGTGTGTTCAATCAGAATTGAACTGTAAGAGAGAGTTCCTGTTTTTGTTACAAAGATCATATTACAAGACCATGTATGTGATGTTAGACTTAAAATGACAGACTTGCTAAACTGAATAATACATCATACTGCTTTCATGTGATTAATAGATGGTGAACGTTTATGCATTTTGATGTATTGTTGCCATGCACTAGGGAAGAAAGAGTGGAGCTAGTTATGGCTTCTCTATTTATTAGTAGTATCAAGTTAGAGTTTCTGACTATTGTTGTCATAACTTCACTAACATTAGTGTTTCCACATTGCATATTGTTGTACTTCTGATTGGATGTATATCAATCATGGGAACATGTTGTAATGGAATAAAGATTGGCAAGGAGAAGGAAGGGTTGGGAGTAGAAAGATAGAGATAGATGTAGGGATAGAGTCAATTTCACAATTTTATAGTTGTCCATATTGAAATTTGCAGCTGCTGTTTAGTAATTTCATGTTTAATATTACCACTTACAAAGGGAAGTCTGTTGCTCCCAGGAAAGAAAGAACAGGTGTTGACAGGTTCTCATTGAGGCAAGCTGTCATATTCATCTGTGCTACTAATAGGCCAGATGAATTGGACCTAGAATTTGTTCGGCCTGGACGTATTGACCGTCGTTTATATATTGGATTACCTGATGCAAAGCAACGTGTACAAATTTTTGGTGTGCACAGTGCTGGTAAACGACTTGCAGAGGATGTTGATTTTGAGAAGGTATAATGTGTCTAATTGCTGAACTCTTGTATCACTCTTCACTGATTTTACAACTCCTCCGAGGTATCATATGGAGGGTTTTTTCAACCTCTTTCTATGCAGGTCGCGGTCCCCTTCCATTTAATGTACCAGTGGAAGGAGAGTCTTGTTTTCTTTTGTCTGCTACTATTTAATTAAGAATTTACTCTCCCACCCTCTCTCTTTGTTAAATATTTTACCTCCATGGGGCTTTGGAGTAAAGGGGCTTTTGACTAAAAGGTCTGGAGAATGGTTTACTTATGACAATCTTGTCTCTTTACTTGTACAGCTTGTATTTCGGACTGTTGGATATTCAGGAGCAGATATTAGAAACCTGGTGAATGAAGCTGGAATAATGTCGGTAAGTTAGTCATCTCTGTGCTTTACAAGCTATATTTCTGATCTACTGTGTACATATTCTGGTGACCTCTGTTTTAATGGATGGAATGGAATAATGAACATGGAAATGTTTTATTGTTCAAGAGAAAGCTTGCAGAATTAAAAAAGTTTTTATCACCATGTTTTGCGGATTACCTGTTGGCAGATCTCTTATCCTTTTGCATTTCAATTCTTAAATCCTGATTATTGAGATCAAGGCTTAATCGTCTGATTTTATTTGTGTAATGGATAAATTAAATATCTTGAGTTTCAAAATGTATAGCCTTCCAGCTGATGTTTAAAAGTCTATCTCAAGATATAGATTTGGTTAAACTTGAGAACTTAAGATGCAACTCGGATATAATATTTACTTCCCAACCCTCCCTCCCTTTTTTGTGAGCTCAACGTATTAAATCCATGCAGAAAGATCTACAAGATGTTGTGGCTTTCTCAACAGTTGGAACTTTTCATGACCTTTGGCTCTAGATATGATTGTTGTCTTCTATTTCACTTGTATTGTATACATACAGATGATGAACAAAATCCTCTTAACAGGCTTTTTCACTACTTGTACAGGTGAGAAAAGGGCATACTAACATCTACCAGCAAGACATTGTAGATGTATTGGACAAGCAACTGCTTGAGGGTATGGGTGTGCTTCTCACGGAGGAAGAGCAGCAGAAGTGTGAACAAAATGTAAGCATTTTATGCATGCAAACTAATAAGAGTATCACTGCAAACATTTTCAGATCCTTCTAGATGTTCTTTTCATCACATGTTTAATGTGTTCACATAATAGGTGTCTTTTGAAAAGAAAAGACTTCTGGCAGTACATGAAGCTGGACACATAGTCTTGGCACACTTGTTCCCTCGTTTTGATTGGCATGCATTTTCTCAGCTTCTACCTGGTGGCAAGGTACAGCTCCTGTTGTGAACATTTATAGCGCTTAATCTTGCCCGAGTTGTCTCCAACACTGTTCCTTGTTCTATTGAAAAGGAAACTGCTATATCTGTGTTTTATCCTCGAGAAGATATGGTTGATCAAGGTTATACAACCTTTGGCTACATGAAAATGCAAATGGTAGTTGCTCATGGTGGGCGATGTGCTGAACGTATTGTATTTGGGGATGATATTACCGATGGTGGACAAGATGATCTGGAAAAGATTACAAAGGTAAGTAAATAGTTTCAGATCTATTTCTGAAAGCGGATAAGAAGTTGCTTCACTGATGGGCGAGTTTTTAAGTATCTAGTTTGGAGTTAAATGGGGACCTATCTCTTCTGCTTGGCAATAATTTCCATTTTCCCTTTAGATTGCTCGAGAAATGGTGATAAGCCCCGGAAATCCTAGGTTGGGGCTTACAGCTTTGACAAGAAGACTTGGACTGGTTGAGAGGCCAGATAATCCTGATCGTGAGCTTATTACATATAAGGTAGTTCTTTTTTTTTTCAGAATTTTAAGCTTCATTGTAGGAATTCCTTTTGCTTAACCATGATCACATCCTTAATTTTTCTGAGCAACTAATTATGCTGCTTCAACTTGTTATGGTGATATAGTGGGACGATCCTCATGTTATTCCTGCTGATATGACAGTTGAAGTTTCTGAACTATTTACCAGGGAGTTGGCAAGAGTAAGTGAAGTATCCCTTTGTGATTGTTTCATGTTTCTTGGAGGACATAGCCCTTTGTGACGGTTTCATGTTTCTTGAAGGACATATCCCTTTGTGATGGTCTCATGTTTCTTGAAAGACATCCTGAATCTTTTTGCACCCAAATGTGATTATTGCTTTGCTCATATAAAGGTTATTCTGGTTTGAGATAAGTGAAGAATATAATTCAGTTACTTCTCACATCCAAACCACTTTAGATTTATAGACCTTGGCAGGTGGAAGATGTGGGAGTCTTAAACATCCTTGTCTGCTGCTAAAATCAAACATGTTTCTGGGACTATTAAGGAAAGGAGAATCGAGTTCAAGTTTGTGTTATTGTTACCACCTTCAGCTTTCTTTTAACCTAAACTTTTCCAGATATGAAGAAACTATGTAACCACAAAAGGATAACTTTATGAGAATAATTTTCATGACTAGATATTTTTTCTGTTTATAGCAAAATGAGAGTGAAACCCATAACATCACTAAGTTGAAATAATTTTATAGATTTACTTTGTGGAATCAGATTATACTGCCAAGCAAAACAGATATGAGGAGGAGGGTCTCCAATGCACTTTCTTCTCTATATATTGCATATCTGCAAATTCAGTGAAAACTATAATTTTTTATGTTGCAGTACATTGAAGAAACAGAAGAATTTGCAATGAAGAAATTAATGGAGAACAGGCACATACTAGACATGATTGCAAAGGAACTTCTTGAACACTCAAGGATAACTGGATTGGTGAGTCATTATTTACGTTTCATTCTTCTCGTCTGTGGCTTTGAGACATATAACAAATATTATCCTTATTGGCTAGTTTTTCGTTCTTTTTGTCTCTCCCATTTGTGTTATTCTGATGAATAGATATGTTTGGAGCTGCATGAATAGATCATTTACTTTATAAGAGTCTGATTAACTGCCTCGTGCATTCATGATTTAATATAAGTCCTCTTGCAGGAAGCTTTGTTGTCAACATGCACTCTTGGTATTGCTTAAAAGATGCTGTCTTGGAGTCTATGCATAGATCTATGTATTTATGTATGAACGTATGTATATTTGTGTGTGTGTGTGTGTGTATAAATGTCAAATAATAGCTTTTGTTTAGAAAAGGATTTATATTAATGTTTCCCAGATTTTTTTCCGTTTCCATCTTGACTATTGCATTGGGCTAGTCAGCGTACTATACCCTCAAGAAAGAACAATGTGTTAGGAAAATAAATTTGACTAGACCTAGCAAAGGTTTTCTCGGAAAGTCAGCTATGTATACACCTCTGCAACTGCTTCAACTTGCTTTTCTGGATGGAAGTTTATAAAAAGATATTCCGTGCAGGAAGTTTTGATGTTAACTGTCTGTATGGTGATTTTTCTCTGCGGTGCTTTGTGATAATTAAGTAGTGCTTAATTATTGTGTTTCTTTCTTATTTGCTCAATGATGGATTCTTGTTTGACCTAAACCTTCTGTGTCTAGATTTGCAATGGGATAGGGTTTTTTCAAGTATTTGTTTACCACTTTTGTTAGTGAAAAACTAAGAAGGATTTGGGACTGTGGTGTTAGCTCTTTTGGTGCTTTCTGTTTCTGTTCTCAGGAAGTTGAGGAAAAGATAAGAGGACAATCGCCATGTATGTTTGAAGATTTTGTGAAGCCTTTCCAAATAAATTTGGCTGAGGTAGTATTCCTTTCTGTATTTCCTCGTTATATTGATAAAGCCAATGGTACCATGTGAAGCTTTAGTCACTGAAGCGTCTGTTATCTTTGTGATAAATATTATGATAATATTATAGCTATGCATTTGATCTTCTAACATGCGGCTCTGTTTCTCTGTCTCTCTGGCTCTGATTTGTGCCTTGCCTTTTATTTAAATGTCACATCAGTGCCCAAAGATATAACCAGTTGAACAATCTTTATTCATCTCCATCCAATCTTTTGTTGAGCAATGTAGCTTTGGTGATTGAGCGCAAAGAAACTTGTTGACTTGGAATGTCTTGCACTTTTGTTACCATGGAGAATGTTTTCTAGATACATTATTTTGGGAATTGATTCAGCAGCTATTCATTGTGGTGACAAAACTACAAAATTGTGTTGCATCGACTTATTTGACGTACTTGATATCTTTGGTTTGTGGTTTTTTTTTTTATTTTATTTTTTATTGAAGTCTCATGTTCCTGATTACTATAAAGCTATTTTTTCTTCCTGTTAGGCCAAGGTGTAGCCTGTACGCGTGTTAAGTGAGATCCTTGTGATTTGTGAGAGCAGCATATATTGCTGGTGTTTTATGTCTGCATTCTTTCTGCCTAGATATGGATACTGTTTGTATGTGTTTATTTGGGTCTACTGGACATCCTTTCTTGTGATTTTTTTTTAGTGTCAGCTAAAGTACATCACTAATCCAGCTCTCAAGTCACAGAAGGCTGTTATTTATCAAGTTAAAGGCTAAATTGTTATTTTGAACTGTGAGAGTACCATTTATCCTTTACTTCATTTTCAAAATTTCCATACCATTGGCCTTCTAATTTCTCTAAAGTGCAAAGTGATGCAGTGTTTGAAGGATGAATTTGCTATTCTGACAGCCTTGTACTAGTACACAGTCCGCATATTTTTCTTAGTGATAGGGACTTTTCATTTTAACGTTAGATTATCATATGTAATTTATTAAATCCTTTATGTTGAATTCTGCCAGGATGGACCATTGCCTCACAATGACGGTGTGCGTTATCAACCGCTGGACATCTATCCTGCACCACTTCACAGATGCTAGGTAGGGGTTCATCCTCCCAAATGTGTGATTGGTTGGGATTCATAGCATAAATTCTTGAATCAAGAAAAAAAAATTATGGGATTCAAGAAGGATAAAGCAAGCTCATTCTCGTATGTCCTAAACGTTCCTAGAGAAGATACTCCCCTGGTCGCCCCTAATGGCTATCATCTCTCTTCCCAGAGCAAGACTTCTGCTAATGTCTTCATAGCTATAGTGGGAGCAGGTGTCCTTGGCCTACCCTACATATTCAAGAGAACAGGGTCACGTGTCCTTATGCTCTCCTCGGTAGCCTTCCTCACGTACCACTATATGATGCTCTTAATCCACACACGGAGAAGACTTGAATCCTGTCTTAAGTCTCCAAAGATCAAAGATATAATCACGACCAATTTTGGGCAGGGACTATTGAGCAGCCTTTGTTGGGTTGGGTTTGTGCATTAACCTATTAACCTATTCTTTACTTTCCCACTGATGATGAACCCTGTTTATGAGGTGGTGGAGAGGAGATTCTGTGAAGCCAGGTATTGCTTGTGGATGAGATGGGTTACGGTTTTGGGAGTGACGGTGGTGGCTCTCCTGGTGCCAAATTTTGCTGATTTCTTGTCTCTAGTTGGGAGCAGTGTATGCATCGTTCTGGGTTTTGTTTTGCCGGCTTTGTTTCACTTGATCGTGCACAAGGAAGAATTGGGGTGGCAAGGTTTGGCTCTAGAAGTGGCAATTATAGCGCTGGGATTAGCATTTGCCGTCTGCGGAACATGGAATTCCTTGAAAGTAGCGCATGATAGAATTTTTAGTGTTTAAAATTTTATTAGAGTTATTGTTAAATAAAATTCCACAAAATAGTAGCTTTACTACAGAATCTTTAAATAGAAATTACGGAAAATTCTAAAATGAAATTAAGTAGTAAAAAGGGTAAAAAAATAGGTCGCTCACAAATTCCGCCAGCCAATGTATTCTTACAATTACTGCTTGAGACAATGGAAACACTATCAAAATTGTAACACATCATTTCTAGGGCTTGATTTGATTTACGAAAAAAAGGACAAAAATGAAAATTTTGGAATTCATAATGAAACATACAAGTTTATCGTCTATAGGATGACAAATTTTTACAGACATTGATGACTAGGATAGGCTATGACAGTGTAATTTATCAATTTTATTACCAAAGTTACTATATTATCAACTGATATTACTTTTTCTTTTAGAATTGAAGTTCAATGTCGACATTTTTTGTTTTTGTTTTCCTTTTTCTTTGGGAATAGTTTGACAGATGGATGGATGGATATCCAAATGAGGACGGGTCAAGAGTAGGGGGGCAATTCGGGTCCAAATCAGGTTGCCGGTCAGGTTTGACCCGATCCGTCAGAAAATCTGTTGATTCGAATCCGACCCGTCAACCTGTGATGGGTCAGGTATACTGACCCGAACCCGAAAATTTCAAGTTGACAGGTTGACGGGTCGACCCGAAATGATCCGAAATTTAATTTTAATTTATTAATTTATCACTGTAATTTCTAATAAAATTAATTTCTCACAAAACTAATTACATAATCAAGTAATAAAAATTTAAATAAATAATTTCAAACCAAATCTAAAATAAATTAAACACCATAAAAGTGTTTTATTTCAAAAAAAATATAAAATAAATTAAAACAGTATAAAAGTAAAAAATAATATAATATATTATTTGTCCAAATATAATAATATCAACTTCACACAAATTAAATAAATTCATTTAAGATTAAGTAATTAATGCCTTTGAAAAAAAAGAATAACTTAGTTTAGTTAGATAAATTTATTTTTGTGTTTATTAAATTATTTTTAATTCGTAAACCGGTCATATCGGGTCATATTAGGTCACCACAGGTTGACCCAAAATCGACCTGTTTTCTTTTCGGGTTCATCGGGTTCAACCCGATTCTGACCCGAATTCCCGAAATCTCAACCCAAATCCATTAATTTCGTGTTAGATTCGTGTAGTATTTTCAGGTCGTATCGAAAATTGCCACCCTGGTCAACAGTATGTCCTAGTTGTTATGAAACAATTAAAAGTATGGATGTCCCTTTGTATTCCCAAGAGGATTAATTCTTGATTTTATGGCTATATTATGTATAGAAATTACAATCCATAAATCTATTCATGTAGCGGAGAAACCGTTTCATAGGTTTCTTCATATTCTTGTAGTAGTGGGTGTTTAATAAGATTAATGTACATTTAATCTTGTAGTACCTATATATAGAGGTACATTGACACCCTTTGGAAGGACTTTTGTATGAGTTGGAATCATAAGAATATCATTCTCCATTTCTCTACTTCTTCTCTAATATTTCTATTCATCTATAGTAGTTTTATTAGTTTTACAACACGTTATCAGCACGAATCTCTACATTTGAGCAAAATGTGAAAACGGAGCCTCTACCTTGAGTAAAAGTGAAACAAGAGATTCTACCAGTATTTTTTTCGGCAATTTCTGTCTACTTATTGAGGTAAATTTTTGACACATAAATTTATTTCAATTTCTTATGGCTAACATTTGAATGATCGAAAAATACAAGTGCCTATTGCTGAACAATTACTAAACACAAAAATATACTGGTTGACATCTTTGAGGTAATATTTCTCCTTTTAATTCTACTTATTTATCTTTAAAATTATTTGTTATAAATACTTATATTCTGATGCAATGAATTTTGGAGATGCTATTATAGAAAATTAATTATATTTGAGAATCTACTTGTCTTTTGAAATATTTAAAGAAAAAGATTCGATTATCTGAAGATGGTCATTCTTTAACGAAAAGATTTAGCCACCAGAAGATGGTCATTATTTCAAAATTTGATATGATAAATTTACTTATGACTGTAAGTACACGATTCTGCTATGTTTAGAATTATTTCTTAGTTGAAAATAATATTCTCTACATATTTCACAAATATGCTCTTGTAGTAGCAATATTGAGAGAAAATTTGAACCGTATTTTGTACTTATTGCATATTAGTTTTAGTCTATTCCCAGAAGTGAATGCGACTAAATTTCAATTTTTAGTTATGTTGCTGTCATGACTATGATTTTGGTAAATATATATTTTATCATGACAAAAGAAAAAGTTACCACTTGAAGTGGGATAATAATGATAAAGACAAGAAAGTAAAGATCCTAAAGATAAATGTCTCGAAGTACATTTGACGAATCAAAATTATAATAGCATTTTCATATGGCAAATTTCTTTAAACGCCCTGAAGGTGTATGATGATTAATTTAATTTATGATACTAATTGACTTTTCTTCCTGAAGAAGAAATGGATGTTAAATATTTGGGATCAAAGGATTATGGTGATGATATTTGTCTCATAAGAATTATGGTGACATGATATGTGTCTCATTAATAAGTGCTACTATATACACTATATTCCAATGAGAGAGACAAACACAATCAGTTGTAGTGTTTAAGTGATTGAAAGTTCCAGAAGAGCCACTATTATATTTCTCCCTGTAGGAGAAAAGTTTATCATAAATAAAACACTACTTTTTACAATATTTCGAAAAAATTTATTGAATTTGAATATCCGTCGAAATGGATATCAAATTGAGACATTAAATGAGACAATAATAGAGATCATGTTTAGAAATCAAATGAGATAAAGGTTAATTATATCATAATAACCATTCGAGAGAGAAATGGTTATCGATATAGTTGTCTTCATTCTCATTTGATTTATAATTATCACCTGTAGTAAACAAGAAGTTTACTGATCCCAATAAATATATGATTTAACAAAAGTGAGAATATTTGAGAGTCGACAAGTATTTATACATACCCCCTTTATATTATATATGGCTCCAAAAGAAATTTAAATTTTATGTCAGATATGAATCACTTTTTACGATTAAATATTGTAAAATATTGATGGGTGATCTATTTAATGATTTATTACTCTGATGAACTACGATTCCCGACATTAGGGGGAGAAAAAAAATCAATCGAAAGGAAATCATCTGAAAAATTGAATTTCCTTGATCCTCATACAAAATAATGTGAACTAGAAGTTTAAGAAATTATTCATTTGCAGAAAACTGCAAACCAATTGTCAGATATATTATCGACTCCAAAAGAGTCATTAAATCAACTATTCCTGCAGGAAATACTCTGGTTAAAATTAATGTCCCTGAAGGACATGCACAAATGCTACAAATAAATTTAAGGTCGGCCTACCTAAATTAGGTATAAATTAATTTCAAATATCTCTGAAGATTAAATAAATGTCATGACAAAATTCAACATCTTGAAGAGGTCGCTCCTGAAGAGCCAACTCCTGAAGAGAATGAAATCATAGAAAATTTAATTGAAACCTAATGAAATGTAGCACTTGATATTATAGAAGTTGATGAGGATCATGAATCTATATCGGTTGATGAATGTCGGTATAGAAATGATTGTTCAAAGTGGAAAGATGCGATTCAATCTAAATTGAATTTATTGATTAAAAGAAAAGTTTTTGGACTTATAGTCCAAACATCTGAAGGTGTAAAGCAAGTAGCCCAAGAATTTTCACAAATATTTGGATACCAATGATCCAATATGTCCATGTGTTTTTATCAAGAAAAATGGATCAAAATTTGTGATAATTGTTGTATATGTTGATGATCTAAATTTGATTGGAACTCCTGAAGAGATTCAAAATAATGTTGAATATTTGAAGAAGGATTTTGAGATTAAAAATTTTGGAAAAACAAAATTCTACCTTGATTTACAAATTGAGCATTTGAAAAGTGAAATTTTTGTCCACCAAACTGCTAATATCTGGAAGGTATTAAAGTAGTTTTATATGAATAAGGCACATATATTAAATATTCTAATGGTCGTCAGATCATTAGATCCTAATAAGGATCCTTTTAGATCACGAAAGGAAGATGAAGAGATATTTGGTCCTGAAGTACCATATCTTAGTGCGATTGGCGAAGAATATTGGAATACAACGATTAAAAGATCTCAAATAATGTTTGCATCAGGGGGAGAAATTAATTCACAAGAATAGTGTACTCTTTTTCTTTCACTGGGATTTTTGTCCCAATGGATTTTTCCCTGGTAAGGTTTTAACGAGGCATATTCTTTGTGTAATGGACATCCAAGGGGGAGTGTTATGAAACAATTAAAAGTATGGATGTCCCTTTGTATTCCCAAGAGGATTAATTCTTGATTTTATGGCTACATTATGTATAGAAGTTACAATCCATAAATCTATTCATGTAGTGGAGAAACCGTTTCATAGGTTTCTTCATATTCTTGTAGTAGTGGGTGTTTAATAAGATTAATGTACCTTTAATCTTGTAGTATCTATATATAGAGGTACATTGACACCCTTTGGAAGGACTTTTGTATGAGTTGGAATCATAAGAATATCATTCTCCATTTCTCTACTTTTTCTCTAATATTTCCATTCATACTATAGTAGTTTTATTAGTTTTACAACACTAGTGACTATTTTTTTGTGTTGGGACATTTTTGGGATTACTTTTGTATTGGGCCTATTTGGGTGGTGGTTTATGCTTTTGAAGGGATCGAAATGGTATTGCCGCTGCAGTCAAAGACGAAGGAGAAGCAGCAGTTTGTGAGAATCCTGGGCTGGGCAGTGGCTTCATCTCCTTGATGTATGGAGGATTGGAATTTTGGGGTATTTTGCTTTCGATGAAGAGATCAAAGATATAATCATGACCAATTTTGGGTAGGGATTATTGATCAGCCTTGTTCAGTTGGGTTTGCGCATTAACCTATTCTTTACTTTCACATTGATGATGAACCTTGTTTATGAGGTGGCGGAGAGGAGATTCTGTGAAGCTACGTATTGCTTTGTGGATGAGATGGGTTAAGGTTTTGGGAGTGACGTTGGTGGCTCTCCTGGTGACAAATTTTGCCGATTTCTTGTCTCTAGTTGGGAGCAGTGTGCATCGTTCTGGGTTTTTGTTTTGCCAGCTTTGTTTCACTTGATCGTGCACAAGGAAGAATTGCGGTGGCAGGGTTTGGCTCTGGATGTGGCAATTGTAGAGCTGGGTTTAGTATATGCTATCTACGGAA